TTGATTTAAATGCCAGTCTGGGAGACATAGGATTAATGGGAGCTTGAGATCTACATAGAGTGACTGAGCCAGAAACAAAAATAGGAAGTGAGAAGCAAGCTGAAGGGAGGGGAACTGATGTCAATCAAGGAAAAAACTGTCATGGTGGGCCTTGGTGATTTGCAGTCAGCTAAAATATCAAATAAGAAAAACTCTTAAGCCGAGTGTGGTAGTGCACACCTGTAATCCCAGCACTTAGGAGGCAGTGGCAGGACGATTGCTGCAAGTTTGAGGCCAGCCTGGATGACAAAGTAAGTTCAAGGCCAGCCTGAACTGCATAGTGTGACCCTGTCTCAAAAAAGTGAAAAACAAGAAAGAAAAAAAGAAAAATTCTTTGTGTGTAACAAATCCCTTGGGAGTTCATGGTATTACATAATTTTTATTTAAAATTGAATCCATGTGGAAGCTTGAGAAAGACAGGCAACTGCTTTTATTCCTACTTTGTTGGTTAAAGAATTAGTTCCATTTTATTAAATGAAAACTAGGAAAAACAAGAGGTTGTTGAGATGCTCCTTTCTTTTAAAATTATGTTAAAGAGCTATTCCTACACTCTGGTATCACCATAGCTCCCCTCCCTGACTTTGTTTTTTTATGTATCCAGTAACTCTAAGTTACTAGATGGAAAGCCATTGAAAGTGTTTTTGGATTAAGATCATCTGAGGGGAGGGGGTGAACACAAGAAGTGATCTGCTTAAAATAGACCTTTTCTTGTTCCCATAGCAAAGTGCTTTTATTAGGCAATTTTTTGGGTTAAGAAGCCAATCCAAGTCATTAACTTTATATCTTACACTGATTAGAAGTCTGAGTGAAAGAATGAATCAAAGACTGGGGAATGAGTCTGTACTAGTCCTGGAAGTAAAATCCCTAATTCTGGGATGTATTTTGAAAGCCTTCACACCTCAGAGGGCTATAGACAATTTAAATTGCTTCAGTTGTTGCCAGAGAAATACATAATGGAAACTAGAGCGGTCACAATAGAGGCAACTTAGAGCCTCAAAGTAGCTGTTAGAAATTTCAATAGAATATTCAAAATTTAGATTTTACATAAATGCTAGTATAAGATGCAAATGTTACCCAGAAAACATAGAAGTAATTTACATGTTATATCTTTGACCTTTTCTCTTTGCCTAGTATGATCCTGAAGTGTAAAAGCAGTGCTAATTGAAAAATAACCAATAAACATCTTAATTTGGTTTTTAAATATTATGAGGAATAGTTTTAAGGGTCCCTATATGCCATTTATTCCATTATTGAGTTTAGCAGTTAAATTTGAATGTAGTATATTTTTTCAACCCTATCTTTTGCAAAAAAACTGTAAAATTTATTCAGTCCCCAATACTTCCATGCTAACTTTCGCTACTACATTTATCTTGAACAACTTTGCTTGCTGATTTGGCAAAAGGCTATTTTTTGAGCTGGAAAATGTGCCTACAACAAATTAGCTTTTAAAAATCTAGAGCTTATTATGTTAGAAATGAACCACTTGTTCTAAACATTTTCCCCAGTTGGCTTTCAATTCTGTTGTTTGCCACCCACAATTTTAAAGTTCTTAGTACACTGAACTTTAAATCTTATATAGCATTTTAATTAATTAGTTTCACTCAACAAGTATTTATTGAATATTTTTGTGTGAGGTATTTTTCTAGACTCATTAATGTCTAGAAATGAATGAACAAAACAGTCAAAATCTCTTGGCGTGTTACTTACATTTTGGTGAAAAGAGAGATGTAATAAGTGATCGGCATGATAAATAGGCAAATTATAATAGGGAAATAAGTATCATGGAAAAAACAGAGGGCAGAAAATGTAAGTGATAAAGAATACATAGGTTTCAATTTTAAAGTGTTTAGGTTAGGTCCAATTCAAAGGTAACTTTTGAGAAAGGACTTGGAGACAAGAGAGTTATTATGTAAATTGTCTGGGAGAAGAACATGCCAGACATTGAACAGTCAGTCTGAAATACGCTGGTGGCTGCAACATGCCTGAAATGTTTAATCAGAAGTTAGAGAGAACCAGAGAGAAATAGAAAAAGATGAAGTCAGGCAGGTTAGTGGTATGTGTGTGAGATCATGCAGGCCAAGACTTGGGTGAAATGGAGGGCTCTGAGCAGAGATAAGATGTGGCTGAGTTTTTAAAGGATTTCTCGGTTTTAGTTGAAAAGAAGGTAGTGGTAATAGTGAAGATGGTGAGAAGTGGTTCTGGATGAATTTGAAAGGTGTAGTCAACAGGACTGCTCATGAATTGGATAAGAGTGTTAAGAGAAAAGAAGTCAAGGATGACTATAGTTTTTGGTCTGAGCAACTGGAGACATTGAGTTACTAGTAATAAGACAAGTGGAGCAAGGTTCTTCTGGGAACGACCCAACTTTGTTTTGAATGAAGTTGGAGATGTCTACTAAATATCCAAATGGAGATGTGAACTAGAAGTTGACTTTGGCATTTAGAAGAGCTCTGGGCTAGAGTATGTATCTGGGAGTCATCAGCCATTGAAGTGGTACTAAAACCATGGGGGTGCACACCTATATCAGATATGCATGAAGCTGAGACAGGAGGATGGCAAGTGCAACTTAGCAAGACACTGTCTCAAAATAAAAAACAAGAAGGGCCAGGGGAGTAGCTCAGTGGTAGAGTGCTTATACGTGCAAGGCCCTGAGTTTGATTGCCAATACTGAAAAAAACACAACAGTAAAATGTGAGACTGAGATTAATTAGGGAGTAAGATAATGACAGGAACCAAGGGCTGAGTCCCAAGGCACTACTAAAGAGAGATCTGGGAAAAGAAAACAAACTGGCAAGAGAGACTGAGAAGGAGGAATGGGGAGGTAGGTAGGAGGGGTCAAAGAAGGGTGGCACCTGGAAGCCCAAGGAAGGAATGGAGCTAAATGCTGCTGTTAGGTCAGATATGATGGTGAACTGGACAGAGAAGTCATTAGTGATGTCTCTGAGTTTTTTCCACTGCTTTTTGCATATTTACATTTAAAAAATATATCTAAAATTTTATATATTGGTAAAATGATGCACTATTTCCACAATTAGTCTACTTTCCTGAAACTGTTCATCGAATGACAATTGCTTTCTTTGTTACAAGTTTGTTAGCCAAGCTTTTGATCATTTGCACTCATGTTTACATGCAGTATGTGAACAGGATTGTAGCACAAATGTGTCCTTTTAAAAAATTAGCTCTAAATTGGTTGTGATGGCAAAGACTAAAGATTGTTGCAAATTATTATGATTGGTTTTAATGCAGTTTATTCAGTTTCCAAATGGGATGATTTATATATTTTATTGAAGAGATCCAGAAATTGTTATCTCCTTATCAAATATCTGGTTTCCTCACAGAACCATGAAGATAGGTAAGTATGGAAATGAGTTTTACTGTATACCTGTGTCTAAATATTTCCCTTATCGAGTTATATAAATGACTCAATTATAACTCATCTACCTAGCATTTACAGGACATCATACTTTCAATACTGTTAGGAAAACCGACTTAAGTACACATTTTAACAAGTCAAATTTCAAAGCATAATTTCAAACAATTTTATTTTTTGTATTTGCAGGCAACTTAAATAGGAAAGCCAGAGCCCTCAATTCAAATGCAGCATCAAATTCAACAAATGAAACATCGTATGAAGCTGATGATATAACTCAAGAAAAAGGAATGGGTACAGCACAAATCAATATTGTTTACTAGTGAAAAATTGTTTTAAAAGCTCATTGGAGAGATGAAGCAACAAAAATAAAGAGTGCATTTCAAACTGTAGCTTGTACTTTTGTATTTCAAATATTTCCCACTTACAAAAAAAGAAACAGCTGCATTTTTGACTGGCTAACTTTATTTGAACATTTACTAAGATTTTTATATTTTCACATGCATAGTTTTACTTTTATTTGATGTTTTTGCATTACATAAAATTATGCTACTTTTCAGATTAAGGAATTTATGAATAACACAAATAAGGTAAACCTATCAGTGAGAAACAATGAGAAGTTTACATCACATTACATTTCACAATTTTTTTGATATTTACAGGGAATTATTTTTACATTAGAGATGATAGTACTGGATATGTAAATCTCAGGGGTGTCTTATAAACAAGAGGTGACATGTTCTTAAGTGTCTTAGGAATCAACCCATACCTTTTTGGAGGACTTTCTGGGGACACAATATTACCTTTATAAAAGTTAATATCCAGTACCACAAAATCACACTGCATAATCTGTACAGTATTTTCTGTATTTCAAGGCATAACCATAATAGAAAGCCTTTGCTGATAAATTTTCCTAAGAATCCCTGTAATGAAAGTTATAAAGCCACCCGGTTCACTGATTTTAACCTAATATCATATTAATACCACTTAGACATCTAGAAACAAAACTCTCTGCAAATTATGAATGTTTAAGCATTTTATTCGTAGATGTGGTTTTTATTTAAAGAACACAGACCTGATTTTATAATGGAATTCAATAGGAAAAAAGTACTAACTTAGAGCCAGCTCCACTACACACATCTGCTGCTCTGTGTAAAGTTTCTGTAGTCAGAAGACTAGTTTTCCAAAATAGCCTGAGTATAACCTCTCTGGTCTGGTATAAAAAAACGATGCCTATTGTTCTTGGCATACAAAGCTTGGGGTTAGAAACTTTTCATCATTAGGCCGTTAAAATTTCTATCAAGAATTATGCATGTCTTCTAGACCAGTATTGTCCAAAGGAAGTTTCTTTGATGACAGAAATGTTCTTTCTACTCTGCACTGTCTGCTATAGTTGCCACTTAAAATTAAATAACCACATGTGGTTATATGGACAGCAGAGTCCCACATCATTATCACAACATCCTACTGCTTGACTTAGATTTCACATTCAAAAAGAATACATTTTTTCCCCAAGGTTTAAATATTAAAATTGCTTAGAATGTATGTGGAAGTTAAGATTTTTCCATTATAAAACTGACATGAGGCCATAAAAGCAAAGATTTTTCATTTATTTCTTGAAAGCTCATACATCTTTTGTGTTTCAAATTGTTTATACAGCTTTGATTTTTAAAATATCCCAGAAAGTTTGATATATAGGAAGTAATATATTACTGTATTGTCTCAGGTGAAAATCTAGTTGAGAAAGGGAAGGCACTGCAGTATAGTTTTACTTGATGCTCAAGGGCAAGGCCATACGCCATTCATGACACAAGGCAGGAAACATAGACTGAAGGTCAGCAAAATGCTCCTGGTCCCCAAGACTCCTCCTCACCTGTAGAACAGGCAAAAAGGGGCTGGGCCTGGTTGGATGACACCAATTTTCTGCCACTCTGAATACTTTCGGAGGAGCTGAGAGGAAATAGGTACAGTAGGAAGACCATGGACTTGGCAACTGGGATTATGGCACACTGGTATAAGAAGCATACTGTTCTTGGACAACTGCCCAGGAGGTGTGTGTCCCAGCACTAGTCAGAAGGGGCTCCTGGGCTGGCTCCTGTTGAGGTAGCTTATCACTAGGTTACTTGAGGAAGGGCCCCAGGGCTCCTCCAGTGGACCAGCTCGCATCTTTCTCTGTAACTTTGAAGTAGTTGTGCTTCATAAGACAAAGTATTAAAAACAAGAAGCTTTATCAAATTATGGCACAGTCTATGCATTGAAAAGTATATTTTAAATTATTTATTTGGGCCCAGCAAATAAAAACATAGAGATATAGTTTAAGCCTTTCAAAAATAAACTATCATTTTAAAAAATTTCAAGAACTGTTTAGATACATAATTCTGGGAATGGGTCTGATAAAGAATACAGCAGAACTTTGTGTTTTTAGACAACTTAAGTCACTAATTTTTGGTAAAAATAATCAGCTCTTGGAAAGAAAAGTGAGCCTGATAAAGTACAAATAATAGAACACAGAAGAATCACATGACATTTTATGGCAACTTGTTTTTTTTAAATGGGACCTTTTAATGACAGCAACTTTATCTTTAAAAAAGTAGGTTTATGAAATGGATAAAACCAAATCCCAATAATCATCATTTCTTTCTTTAAAACTCTTTGATAATGTCTCATTGTTTATAGATTAAAGTCCAAACCTCTAAACACGGAACACAAGACCTTCTCTTGAGCCCAAGAATCTAAAATGGCAGTCTCAATTCTTACCACTTCTGCTTAACATGACACGACAGCAACATGGGCTTGCTTGTAATTCTTACATGAATGTAACACTGCATGTGATCTTTGTTGCCAGTATCCACCCTGACCATGTCTCCCTTGCTTTTGATCAAAATGATACTCAGACTTTACTTTCTCTAGGTGGCCTCTTTCAATTTCTCCACAGTAGGTTAGATGCCCATCTGTGTTTCTATAAAGCCATGTTTGAGGCCTTACTGAAACTATTTCATAATGGTATGTCCTAGTGTCTCTCACACCAATGAGACTGTCACCTTCTTCAGGGAAGTAAATGTGTCTTATTTAGAACTCTTCTCGCTACCTAGCACCACATTATTTGCCATGGTTGGTACTCGGTACCAATCATGTTGTTGAAGAGATGACTCAAGGGCATTTTAATGAACATTATTACTAACTCTTATGCCCGGTTTACCACTGAAGGTGACCTACAGCTATGTAATTTTAGATAGTACAGCAAATATAGATGCATATTGTTATTTTACTTCTCAGTAACTGATGCTTTGGCTTCAGGAAACTACAGGTGTAAATAAAGATATATTATGTGTAAAAAACTAAAACCACGCCTGCGAGATTTCAACCAACAGATGATATGGAGAAAAGAGTGAAGAAATATGGGACAGTAGCTCTACTCCTACAAATAGCCTCAAAGTGTTCAGATAATGTGGCTATAGATGCAAATATAAAGTTAAATATAAACTGTCTGCATCTAATGAAAGTGACATACATTGGGTGGTAACGAAAAGAACAAAGCAAGTATTTATGTTTTAAAAAATTCATATGTTTAATAGCTGCATTAATACATTCAACTTTTACTACTATAGAACACTAGCTGCATATTTATGCACAACTTCTGCACAACTTCTAAAGAAAGTATTACCTGGATATTACTAAAATATTGGCAAACACACTGAAGAACAGAAGCGATGTCACAGATAATTTAGTACAGCTTATAGGTAAAAGGCACGAACGCCCAAGGAAGCTAGATGACTTTGCTGAGGGCTGTACAGAGCTATACTATGAGGACTGGACTATCTAGTGAGAATAGTTATGACTTCAGTTGTTACTATTAAAGTTCACTTTCCTTCTGCTGCATACTGCCTGGGATGAAATTTCATGAATTTCCCCCTGAAATTTAATAGTGAGATTTGCGCTAACAGCAAGATCATCTCAGAAGAAAATTAGTAAAGGAGTTTTATTCAAATGAAATATTTTATAAACTATGCTAACATGGTAAATCAAGAATAATTCTAAGATTACTTCTGGGGAAAGATTATTGAGCCACTAAAATCTTTTATTTTTTATAGTATATTTCTTAATGAGGGCTGACTTTTATATAACTTCAGAATCATAAGTTCTGTCACTGTTCAGAAAAGAAACCTAATGAGTTAATTTATAATCTTTACAATTAACAGAAGTAAAACAAGTAACTGTACTGCAATTATTCCCAAGTTATATACACAGGGGGATGAGGCCATCTTTTTGTATGTAGTATCTACTAAACATGTTTTAAAAGGCTTTTTCTTTTTTACCAATTTAAAAAAATCACGATAACCAAAGGACTGTATTTTCATCAGATGAATAGCAAAGGCAAAATAAACCCTTAAGAAATCTAACAGTTCTGTGCTTTTCTGTTGACTGAACTTTTTAAAGAAGAGTTTCTTTTTGAGGGAACCAAGCGAGCAAATGCGGTCATGGAATAAGCTGGAGGTATGAGGGCTTCTGAGGCTCAAATGCAGGGCAGGGCTGTGGATGCAGCTTCGCTGGAGTTTTGAGTATGGGGCATGCTGGCAAGGGTGCCCCCTGAAGGAAGAATGAGTCACTTTTTCCAGCTTGTGAGGTTAAGTGAAATAATTGATATCACCATCTTGAATTCACCCACTTGGAACCATGTCTGTAGGTTACCAACATGAAAACTTTTAAGGGCACCACAATGAGGTACTTGGGATCTTTCGTGCTTTCCCATGATAACAGATTGAGTTTCAATGTTGCTACAATATAAATGTTTAACTGATTTGGTATCAGGAATACTAAGTATTAAGCAAATTAAGTAATATCGATCACTGTGAAATTAAAAATGTAAGAAACATTGATATTTACCAACAAGCATCTGAAAATGCTTACGCACAGAAAATTTCCATTGTTATATAAAGGCTTTCATGCTGTAACTCCCTGGTTCATAAATTTTAAAACATATAGAATAAAATTCTTAATTCTAAATTTTTTTTACTCATACTGATATTTGTGACTGACACAAAAGAGGGAAATACCTCAAGCTTATTATGCATGAAAGCAAAAAGTGTGAAACTTGCTTCAAAACTATAAATCATTTGACACAAGAGATACACATATATGCTAATATTTATAAAACTTTTCCACATTACAGACATCAGCTTCATAATGTTTACATACTAAATACAATAAACATCAGTTCTAATGAAGATTTGGCTGTTTTGAGGTATCTCTATAAGATATGCCAATATGGCACATTTCTAAAACCCAGGAGTCTACCTTAAAAACTTTGACCGACACAGCACCACCTCTGCCAGACTTTTACAGGTGGAACTAGTCTCTAAACAAGGAAAAAACATGTCTAATTGTTGTTGCAAAAAAAAGGAGGCAGGTACTAAAAAGTCTGAATTTCATAAAGCAATGAAACTTTGTTATAAATATTTTTATTATTATCTTCCTGTAGATACCATTCATTTAAAAACTACTACCTCAAGACCTGTAAAGCAGTTTCATATACTACATTTTAAAAAGTCTAGAGATTTAAAAACCAGAGTAAAGAATTTCACTCTTTATATATTATGTCACAGTATATAAAGCTATTAAATTTTTCAGCATCAACAACAAATCATTACCCCCATCTAGCTTTATTGCTGAAAGGCGGACACTTGATTCAGGACTACTCATTAACGGTTAGGTAGATTATTTGTGTTACTGTACAAGGGCCATTTAAGCTCAACTTATGAAGTAATAACACTACCCAAACAGAGATACAAATACCAAAAATAATGTGCTCTGTATGTACAAATATCTGTACTTGGGGCAAGGCTATCAAGTAACAAGACTTATTTAAACACATACAGCCAGAAGGATAATGGTCCCACCAATGAAAAATGTCTATATGGAAAAGGTTGGGGTCTATTGCAAAGCATAATTATATAGTAAATTCCAAGGAAAAGCAATTTTTAAAGATGACAAATTTAATGACTTAGGCCAAAGTCTCCATTACTTTTTTGTGAATTCAGAACGATTAGGGGTAGAAGAGTGCTTTTCCTTTTTTCTCTTCTTTTTTTCCTTTTTGTGATGTTTCCCTTTTTTTGATTTGTTCTTTTTTTCTTTTTTCTTTTCTTTCTTCTGATATTTTTGTTTCTTTTGTTTCGAAGAGTCTTCTTCAGTGGAACTGGAATAAGACCTATGAGCAATAAGACATGGCTGAAAATTGTATTTACAACTTTTAGATAAATCTAAATGGGATTTGGGTTACTTGAAATTCTTCCTGGAGTAAGGAGGGGAGATAAACATAAATGCAATATGTGTACTGTATTCTCTTAAAATGCTGAATTTAGAATTTTTGCTACTGGGCATAGAAAATGACAAGACTAATCTCTCTATTCTGCTCAACTTTAGTAAGGAGTTTTCAATTCAGTAAAGATGATATTTTTCTGTGATTTTCAGTTTTTTATGCTGTGCTATCCTTTAAAAACTTATAAATCAAAAGAGTGGTAGTCGTCAAGCTTTATTATATGTTTAACTCATGTGCATGTATAATAACCTGATAGCAGAGTCTCTTAAAAGTGCCACAAAAAGATGCAATTATACATATATATAAAAGGCTCTAATTATACATTAGTATAAATAGGCAAAAGCTGAAAATTAATGAAAAAAGCACTTTCATAATTCCTTTGATTTTCCAAGTCATCTGCACTCTAGATGCAGTGATACAAATGAATACTTGCATTATAAAGCAATTTTCACTATAGAAAAGCTTTTAAATGAATACTTTATGTAAATGAACGAAGATGATTTATCATTGCAATTTAGTTTTGTAATAAGACTCTAACATGAAATTGGGGTAAAAGCATACAATTCTTTCCTTGATATTGAAAAAATGAAGTTTTTAAAAAAGAACAAAAAAGGCCAACATTTCAGATTTTACATACAGGTGGTGTATAACATTTTACCTCTGCCCAAATACAAAATATATGTGAAAAGATAGGAACTGTGTTAATTGAAAATAAAACTGGCACCTTAAAAGTCAGTTCAATGATCTAATAGTAGGAGTTAAAACTCCAACTCAGAAATCTTAACACAGGCATAAGGCAGGTGCACAGTAGGTGCATGAGACAACAAGGTTTCAAGGAATCTTACATCTGCAGAGTGAGCTGTGTACTTCCCGGCTCCGAGCTGCCCTTGTTTCTGCAGTGCTGTATCTTTTTCTCCACCTGGTCTGCCTGCTTTCATAGATTTCTGACCACGTGCTAAGCCGATTTTCTCATGTATTCTCTGGCTTCCTCTTCAGCTCTGCTATTGTCAAATCTTGTCTATTTAGCTTCTTCTTCCTTTCTTTTTGCATTGCTGGAGATTGAACTCAGGGCTACATCCCCTCCTCAGTCCTTTTTAAATTTTTCATTTGCAATTGGTTCTCTATAATAAGCTGCTAACTTCTCCAGGTTGGGTTCCAACTCATCCTCCAGCTTCTTCCTCCCAGAGTGGTAGGACTTACAAGCACATACCAACGTGCCTACGTTGCTTTGCTGTTTTTTAAAGAGCAGCTTTTACTTGACTTCTAGATTCTGACTAGAGCTGCTTCTCTGCCTGTACTTTTTTCTGTCTTTTTGATCTTGGATTTTCACTTTTAAGGCAATATTTTAGGCTGTAACATAGCTCACTACTAGGTGGCATTACCTTTACACAGAGAAGTTCATTTAATTTCAAGCTTTGTCTAAGATCTGTGAGGCTCAAGATAGAGGACTGAATAAATAATCTTTTATTATAAAACAGGTGTATCAGAACTTGGAAGACAATAAATAACCTCGTGTTTCCTATAAGCAATCCAACATGCTGTTTTAGCACAAATAATTCAACAATGCACTAAGTCAGAAATCCTGAGCTCTATGTTCCTAGCAATTTTTATGTTAAAGATTATTATTTAGCACACAGATCCTGAAAGTGGTCTAACTATTCCAATTTATAAAATATCTCAAGTTTTAAAATGTACATAATTAAATCCTTCAAAAAAGCTACAAAGCAACAACACCTAATGCACAGAACCTGCTTTGTGAGAAAACTGGGGCTAAACCAGGCCAAACAATGGCCAAGTACTTTAAAAATATGTGTATTTATTCCCTTATTACCCAGGGAAGTTGCCTCTTACAATTTCTTTAATCAGCTATTAAAAGAGTTAACAGAAAAAAATTCACAGATGGCTGATAAGAGTTCTGAAAGACCTGAAGGAATTTTTAGCTTGACAAATTACATTAAATTCCATCAATAAATTAAATTAATTTCTTAGCCATGGTAATGATACTACTAGAATGTACATATTTCAGCTCCAACTTCATTTATTAGGCAACAAAATACATGTATAGTTAAATGCATCCAATTAAAAGTTTAGCTGCTACTCTAAATGTAAACTTCTTAATACAAATAAACAGAATGTATAAAAGAAGCAAAAGAAGAAGGGATGTTGTACCTTGATTTATCATATTAAAAAATAAAAGACTTTATTTTTGATCACCAAATTACTGTATTTTTGAAGGACTTTGCTATCTTACTGAAACAACAACATCTAACTTCCAGTAAGAACATAATTAACATTAAACTAAATGAACTATATATGAAAACATCTTAGAATCCTTCCTGTACTCACAATCCTACTTTATTTTTAATAACATGCTATTTAAAAAATACCTTTTCCTTTTCTTTTTCAGTTTGATTTTCTCTTTACTTTTTTCTTTTTTCTTCTCCTCTTCTTCATTTATTCCTATGGGGAAAGGGAATAAAGCAAAAAATATAATCACACACTCTATACAATAATGGCATGTACCTCATTAAAAAAAAATTTAGTTGTTGGTTCGATAGATGAAGACAACAAAAATGGGACTAGATGATGAAGCCAAATGACAGGAGCCTCAAGCATGCATCGTGTTTTCACAGCTGGCAAAGATAATATACTAATGGTCTCCGCAACACATAAAGATGTGAGTTACTAGAAAAAATCAGAAATACTCTACGTAGAACACACACACACAGAGGTCAGTGGTAGAACTGTATGAGCCCTGAGTTCAATCACCAGGCACTCCTCCTTCCTGCCACACACACATAAAATCAAATGACAGTGCACATACGGAGATGCATAAATTGCAAAGCTAAGTATTATAGGCTATCTCTAGATTTTGTCAGTTATTGCCAGTAGCTTTTTAAGAACTGGTTAACACTTGCTGCTGCCAGGTCTCTCTCTAGGATGAGAGAAGCACTAAAACAATACTACGATGGAATGCTGGGAGAGATACTATGATATTTTTAAGTAGAATGAACAAAATGATTTTTTGAAGCTCGTCTATCCTAATTACATCAAGATCAAGACAGAGTTTAGGATAAAATTAACAAAACTTCAGGGGCCTGTGGAAATAACAAAGGATCTAATATTTGTATCACTGGAGTATCTTGGAAGGACAGGAGGAAAAGTGGGGCTGAAGAAGTATCTTATAATGGCAAAAATTTCTCAAATTCAGCAAGAGGCATAAACCTACATATTCAAGAAACTGAGTGAACCCTAACAGGGTAAATTTAAAGAAATTCACATCAAGATAGATCATAAATGAACTTTTCAAAATAAGTGACAAAGAGAAAAATCTTGAAAAGAGAAAAAATGGCAAATTAAGTGTAGGGATACCTTCTCAAGCCATATCAAATTATGTCAACCTGGACTGCTCTTCCTAGTGAAAATAACCTTCAGGAATAAAGAAGAAATCAACACATTCTCAGATAAAAGTATATTAAAGAATTTGTCAACAGCAGGCATTCTTTAAAAGAAGAGGTAAAAGATGTTCCCTAAAGGACGAAAATGACGATAAAAGAAGCAACATTACAACACTGACAAGGAAGAAATAACACAATAAGAATATTGGTAAACGTAATAGGTTTCCCTTCTTTCCTTGACTTTCTAAGTTACGTTTGATGATAGAAGCATAAATTATAATAATTTTCTGATGTGGTTCTAAATGTATGTGTAAGAAATAGGACCATAATACTGTAAAATAGGAGAGGGTAAAGTGATATAAAGAGAGGTAAAATTTCTCCATTTCATGGGTACCATAGCAAACTAGTAGACTGTGACAAAATAACCCAGAGCATTAACAAACATATATAAAATATCATAGAGAAATTTAAAAACACTCTAGTGGATACATTCAAAGACATTACAGAAAATACAAAATGGAATGCTACAAAATGTTCAGTAACCCATAGGAGGGCAGAAAAAGAAAAACGGGGACTAACAAAGAGAAGAGCCTTGAGACCATAATATTAAGGGAAGGAAAGCAGAAACACAAGCTTAAATATTGCATGGTTTCTCTTATATGAGAAACCCAATATAAAATGAAGTGTAAAATAAAAGACAGACAATAGGAAAAAAAAGAGAGGAAAAAAATTATGGTAATCCAGCACGAACAATATAGCTAAAAGTGTACCTTGATTCAGTATAATTGTCTTATGTGTTTTGTATGTTTTTTGGCTCATTAGTCTGGCGTTTAATCTGTATGTATGATAATTCCTATCAACAAGGATAGGAAGATAAGTCAGTAATACCATCAGCCAATAGAATCTGGTAGATACTTCAAAAATACACTCAACATCAGTAAAACATACTTTTTTTGGTCAATGCCTACAAATTATGACTTGGGCCATGAAAGAAAACTCAACAAATTTAACTGAAATTATACAGATCATGTTTCTGGTCACAGTGAAATCTGATGAGAAATGTAAAAGGTAAGTCTCCAAACACTTGGAAGCTAAACAGCACACTTATATGTAATCTACTGTGCAAAGAAAAAGTGTAAAGAAAAATTTTTTAAAGGGCAATGATTAAAAATGGAAATACAACATATCAAAATCTATATAATAGCAGTGCTGATAAGAAAATTTATAGCACTAAATGCTTACACAAGAGGAAAGGTCTCAAACTAATAATCTGATTCCATCACAAGAACCTAGAAAAAGATGAAAAACTCAAAGCACGTAGAAGAAAGGAAGCAATAAAGAACAGAAATTAACAAAAGTGAAAATGGAAAAACAGAGACAAATCAATGATGCAAAGATCTGGACCACTAGAACTGAAAAACTCTAGAAAGACAAACAAAGAAAAATGGAAGATGCCAGCTACTAATATTAACATGAAATGAGTATTTCACTACAGACTCGTCAGATAGCAAAAGGCTAAGTGAATACTATGAAAAACCCTACAAACATTCATTTGACACACAATATAGATTACTTTCTTAAAAAATAAAAATTGCCACAACTTACTTTATATGAAAGAAAATAAGTAATTCTATAACTACTAATGAAAGTGAATTTTAAAAATTTCCAAAAAAATTATGAGGTCCAGATATTTCTCTAGAAAATTTCATCAACCATTTACTGAAGAATCAACACTGGTTTTATACACTCTCATTCAAAAAATAACTACTACTAAGAAGCAAGTTTACTTAGGAAGTTTAAAACATAGTGTAAAACCTTAACAATTTACCTGAAGCACTGCAGCATGATTACCCAGTAAGCATGTTCAAATAGACACACACACACACACACACACACACACACACACACACACACGCACAGTGAGGCAACAAAAACTTAAGACTATTGCTATCCATCAATTTAATCTTGCTGTGTTCACAGCACAAGTGATATAACTAAGCCTGCATAGGTCCTAGGTTGTTACAGTGTAATTAGCAGTAATGTGTTTTTCCTATCCATTTAAATCCTGCCCTCACATTTTCTTTTCTTTTCTTTTTTTTGGTCTTTTTGAGACAGGGCCTGTTTGCAGTTCAGGCTGGCCTTGAGCTCCCTTTGTAGCCCAGGCTGGTCTCGAACTCCAACAATCCTCCTGCCTTGGGCTCCCAAGTGTTGGGATTACAGGCATGTGCCACCACGCCTGGCTTACATTTTCTAATTTGCATCAGTAATTGATTATATTTGTCATTTAAAGTACTTCGCGTTTGTTTTAAGTCAACATTTAAGAATAGAACAGGCTTACAGCATTGGAAAATGCTACAGTGACATTCAGACCCAAAAACTTTTAGGAAAGTCCATAATCCTGTTAAGAAATTGAAGCACCTTGAACAAACAAAAGGCTGAGAAAAATCAAACACACATGTAAGAAGAGTAAATCCAATTTGCCTGCAAGTGTTACTTGCAAGCTGGTTTGTCTCAGATACAAAAATATTGCTTTAGCCTAAGATTTCTCCAGGATGGGGGAAGAAGTCTCCTGGCCCTTTGGTATATTCCATGAAGGATCACTTTCTGTCTTGTCTCAAACCAAGCACTGAAAGACCAGAAGGCTGACATCAGAAACAGGAACGAAAGAGAAGGCAAAGGCATCTTTTTACAGCTGGTGCTACTCCACAAGACTGGAAAAAGGCATTGTTTATTTAGAAGTCTAGACACAATGGCACCATTAAAAGAACATGAAAGAGCACGAAAACATGACACAATCAAAGGAAGAAAATAAATGTCTGATAGCTGACCCTAGAAAAATTGATATTTATGAATTGCCTGACAAAGAATTCAACTTAATTTTCTGGAAGCTCAGGGAATTAAAATTGACAGGGATTGATGAATCAAGCAAACATATATAAACAAAGTGAAAATATCAATACAGAAGTAGGAACAACAAAAAAGAACAAAACAGAAATACTGGAGCTAAAGAACAAAGTAACTAAAAAATTCACTAGAAGGGGTTTAATCAAGCAAATGAAGTAAGCAGCAAACTTAGAGACAGGTCATTTGAAATGATCCAGTAAGAGGAGTAAAAAAGATGAAGAATGGAAAGTAGTAGAGAAAGCTTAAGGGGATATGGGATCCATGAAGCAGAACAGTAATATGCAATATGGGAGTTCCAAAGGAGAAAGAGAAAGTAGTAGAAATAGTATTTTAAAAAATAATGGATTAAATCTTCCTAAATCTAGGAAAGAAAACAGATACTCAGACTTACAAAGCAAAAATAGCAAAAAAGATTAAATTTACATTTTCATTGAGCTGATCATAACTGAAGTGTAAAAAATTAACATAATTTTTAAAGTGGTAAGAGAAAAGTAACTCACCACATAAAGGTGGTCTCCAGAACACTGTATGGAGTTTTCAGCAAAAATCTTGACGAAGAGAAGAGTAGGATAATATATTCTAAGTGTTAAAACAAAACAGCCAACCAAGATTATTATACCCAGCAAAGCTGTCCTTCAGAAATGGAGAGATAAAGAATCTCCAGATAAACAAGAGCTGAGGAAGTTCATTACCACTAGATCTGCCTTAAAGAACTGCTAGTTCTTCGAGTTACAATAAAAAGATGATAAACAACAACATGAATGCACCTGGATGTATAAAACTTGGTGGTTAAGGTATGTATATAGAAAACACAGAATACTATAGCAGTGTATAAACCACTTTCAACTCTACTGTAAAAGTCAAAATGCAAAAGTGTAAAACTAACTATAAGAACAATAATTAATAGAAACAGCGTAAAAGATGTAAATTGTGATAAGAATAACAATGTGTGCAAGAGGAGAAGTATGACTTTTTGTGAGTGAAACTATCAAATGTTATAAGATGATTTATGTAGGCCCTATGATAATCATAAAAACAAATGCATAATATAAAAAGAGAAAGAAATCTACCTTAGTCACCTTTCACCTTGACTTAGCCACCTTAGTCAAGTATTTTGAACCAGTGAGGTTGAAACCTCAAGGAAGAGAGGTTTATTTT